TACCTGGGATGGAGTGCACGGCCTCCACGGGCAGCAGGCAGGGCCGCTCCAGGTGTGCCCCAGGTGTGTTTTAGGTGCCGTACACGCGCAGTACACGTGTGTTACAGGTATGACAGGTGTGTCACAGGTGTGTCACAGGTGTGTCTCAGGTAATTTACCTGGGATGGAGTGCACGGCCTCCACGGGCAGCAGGCAGGGCCGCTCCAGGTGTGACACAGGTGTGTTTTAGGTGCCGTACACGCGCAGTACAGGTGTGTTACAGGTATGACAGGTGTATTACAGGTATGACAGGTGTGACAGGTGTGTCACAGGTGTGACAGGTGTCAGACACACCTGTACAGGTAATTTACCTGGGATGGAGTGCACGGCCTCCACGGGCAGCAGGCAGGGCCTCTCCAGGTGTGACACAGGTGTGTTTTACGTGCCGTACACGCGCAGTACAGGTGTGTTACGGGTGTGACAGGTATGACAGGTATGACAGGTGTCAGACACACCTGTGCAGGTGTGTTTACCTGGGATGGAGTGCACGGCCTCCACGGGCAGCAGGCAGGGCCGCTCCAGGTGTGTCACAGGTGTGTTTTAGGTGCCGTACACGTACCATACAGGTGTATTACAGGTATGACAGGTGTATTACAGGTGTTACAGGTGTGTCACAGGTGTGTCTCAGGTAATTTACCTGGGATGGAGTGCACGGCCTCCACAGGCAGCAGGCAGGGCCGCTCCAGGTGTGTCACAGGTGTGTTTTACGTGCCGTACACGTACCATACAGGTGTATTACAGGTGTTACAGGTGTATTACAGGTGTGACAGGTGTCAGACACACCTGTACAGGTGTGTTTACCTGGGATGGAGTGCACGGCCTCCACGGGCAGCAGGCAGGGCCGCTCCAGGTGTGTCACAGGTGTGTTTTACATGCCATACACGTACCATACAGGTGTATTACAGGTGTTACAGGTGTATTACAGGTGTGACACAGGTATGACAGGTGTGACAGGTGTGTTACAGGTGTGTTTACCTGGGATGGAGTGCACGGCCTCCACGGGCAGCAGGCAGGGCCGCTCCAGGTGTGCCCCAGGTGTGTTTTACGTGCCGTACACGTGCGGTACAGGTGTGTCACAGGTATGACAGGTGTATTACAGGTGTTACAGGTGTCACAGGTGTGTCCCAGGTGTGTCACAGGTAATTTACCTGGGATGGAGTGCACGGCCTCCACGGGCAGCAGGCAGGGCCGCTCCAGGTGTCGCGCCGGCTGCGGGATGTGCTCGTCCACGGCCTCCANGCTCCAGGTGTCGCGCCGGCTGCGGGATGTGCTCGTCCACGGCCTCCAGCAGCCGCAGCACCGAGCGCAGCCCCAGCTCGGGATCGCGGTCCTGCGCCGCAGGTGCGACAGGTGAGGGACAGGTGAGCGACAGGTGGGACAGGTGAGCCCCAGGTGTACCCCAGGTGTGCCCAGGTGTGTCCAGGTGAGCCCCAGTGTGCCCCAGGTGTGCCCAGGTGACCCAGGTGTGCCCAGGTGTGCCCCAGGTGTGCCGAGGTGTGCCCCAGGTGTGCCCAGGTGTATCCCAGGTGTATCCCAGGTGTGCCCAGGTGTGCCCAGGTGTGTCCAGGTGTATCCCAGGTGTGCCCCAGTGTGCCCAGGTGTGCCCAGGTGTGTCCCAGGTGTGCCCAGGTGTGCCCAGGTGTGCCCCAGGTGTGCCCAGGTGTATCCCAGGTGTGCCCAGGTGTATCCCAGGTGTATCCCAGGTGAGCCCAGGTGTGTCCCAGGTGAGCCCAGGTGCCCCCAGGTGTGCCCAGGTGTATCCCAGGTGTGCCCCAGGTGTGCCCAGGTGTGCCCAGGTGTATCCCAGGTGTGCTCAGGTGTGCCCAGGTGTATCCCAGGTGTGCTCAGGTGTGCCCCAGTGTGTCCCAGTGTATCCCAGGTGTGCCCAGGTGAGCCCCAGGTGTACCTGCAGGGCGCAGAGCACCGACCCCACCACCACAGGTGTTTGGTTATTGATCCCCATTGATCAGTATCGATCAGTATTGATCAGTATCGATCAGGATTGATCAGTATTGATCAGTTATCGATCCCAGGTGTACCTGCAGGGCGCACAGCGCCGATCCCGCCACCACAGGTGTTTGGTTATTGATCCCCAT